GACGTCGCTAGCGGAAGTGCAAGTGTCTGAGAGTGCAAGCCTGAGAATGCAAGTCTGAGAGTGCAAGAGTGCAAAAATGCTGCCTCCACTCCCTTTTCGAGGTATTAAATCGAAGATCCATGTGTTACAGGCGGAGCGCTAATGACGTTGTAGGCCTTGCAGTAAAGGTCGACGCAGAAGACAGGTGACACCCGTGTGTCCGAACACGCGAGACAGGAACCCGAGGTGGGCGTATCAGCTTCCCATGAGAACAGGTTGCTAATCAAATTTCATCTTTTATGTACCACGACCTGTCTTTCTTTCAGACATTGCATGATGTATTTCAAAACAAAGTACCTTTGAAAATATATGCGGATATCTTGCCTATATATATATATATAGCTACATCCTTTTTACAATCTCTAGATTATAAAACACTGCATTCTGTCAGCAATGTAACGCGGCAGTAACGTATAGAGACCTCGGCTTGTAACTATACTCTAATTACTTTTTTGAAAATTATAACGCGTTACTAAAAAAATAATTAAATTACAGTAACGTGTTATAAGTAATGCGTTAATGCCCAACACTGCATGTGTGTGTGTGTGTATATATATATATATATATATATAATGGAGCTTCTTGAGTTTTATTTTTTTATTTTTTATTAGAACACGGTACAAAGATGAAGGAATGTTATACATCTTAAGCTTTCTTTTTTTTTTTAAAAAACACTGTTTTACAGTCAGCATGTCAGCTTTGCTTCTCAGGAACAAAAAAAAAACAATCATATACAAAGTCTTTTTCAAAAAGCTAGTATTCATTGGCACAAAAATACAAACTCAATCCAGATAAAAATCAACTTCTTGTACAACTTAACATTCTAACATTGCATTAAAGGGAAAAAAAGAAATGCATCCAGATATCTAGGCTGAGTTCAAACACATACATATAATAAAATAAAGTAATTAGAAGTAAGTTCTCCCCTTTGGTAGAAAGACTCCCCTTTATCAAAAAGAAAATCCAAAAACAAAACAGCCTGCGTTAAGGTGCAAGATAACCCCTCAGTTTAAGGCGGATAGTGCTGCCATCAATGTGACCACTTGTAATCAAATGGACAGATATCATTTTCACTTTATGATCCATGGAACAGCTGCACGGCACTGAGAACCTCTTGGTCGTAGTGCTGCTCTACCTTCACGATCGTGCTGTGCTCCCGACAGCTGCTAGCATCTGCCAGGTCCTCTGCCGTATCTCCAAAGCCATGGTAGTGTCCATAGTGCAAATGTTCACCGGAGTCAGGCAGGAACGCACCCCATGCAGGCCGGTGAGATAAACAGCTGCTTGGGCTACCATTGAGGTGCAGTGAGCCACACATGTCCATTCTTGACTCAGCTGGAATGGTCTCGACCCCATTGAATTGGGACTGATAGCACTGCCCATTTGTGGCCAAGCTGTTGACAGTGAAACTGTTCTGCTGCCCATGACCATTCCTCAAACCTGTGGCTATGGCTTCATCTGTCATTCAAAACAAGACATGCGTCAGAAAGTGATGAGCAAATGGTCTTGATTACACATGAACTTGAGCCAGACCAGAGAAACAAAACATTTGAACCCATTACATTCTTGTAGATCAATAAACTGCATTTCATTTTCCATATGAGCACTTTGTTGCTCATATTTCAAGTGTACAATATGTCATCTTGTTTTTGATCAACTATTATTACAAGTCAACACACACACACTGTACTCTTCCAAATGGTCACAAGTGAGGGTTTGAACACCTATCTGCAAAAGTTTTTTTACTCAGAGAAACCATAAACGCCATCAAATAACCTAAAAGATGCTTCAGTGTTTTAAATAAACAAGCAGATTACACGTGAAATATTTAAATATCTTTAAAATAGTTAATATAAAGAGGATGGAAGCATAATTACTTAGTAAAATGTTAACCAATGCATTCATTCATTTGTAAATAGGACATGAAATGAAATATCCTAAAATCAGTTGATGCTTTCATTGTGAAATATATTGCTGGGAGATTCAGAAAATATAACTATTACATACAAGCCTACTGTACAATATTAAGCTAACAATAAGCTATGTTTACAAAACTGATTCAGAATTACCATATACAGATAATATGGCAAAAGTTCATGGAAATAAAGCCAAGAAAACTAGTAACTCTGTACATGTATTTTCTGTATTATGTTAGCTGGTGTGTCTTTGCAAGTACTGGTAAAGTCTGTTATTTAAGTCAATTGTGTGCATACTTTGAAAATAAATGTCAGCTTCTGAAAAAATGGACATCTCACCCCAACTACTTTTAGATTGCAGATATTTCAGCAGCCTGAAAAAAATCCAATACAAATATACTAGCCAAATAATTTGCATTGACAGCTTGTTGATAAACCTGGGGAAACTTGTTGATGGCTTGGCCCTCATAAATAAGCATAAGAGTTTGTCCATAGCCAGAGGCCAGGAACAGAAGTCATAGATGTGGGCTCCAACATTTTTTGGGTGGGAGAGGGGTTCCTCAAAGGAACACTGTCCTCATGATGTTCAAGGTCAATAGACATTGGTGGAGAAGGTCCAGTCCCACCTGATTGGTTTTCAGCAGTTGATTCCACATTCATACTCTCAAGCTCCTCTTCAATCCCACTGTTTGTCTTCACTGAAAAATTCATGCCTGAATGCAAAGCATGCAATATAGTCAGAAAAATATTTTTTCCTTGATTTTGTGTTGATTTTGTGCACAAACACAATGATTAAATGCACTACAAAACTGACTTACTCGCAGTTCTTGCTTTCTTCATGTGGTTTGGCTCTGTGCAATCAAGAAATCTTTTTCTATTGGCTATCGCATTCAGAAGACTGCGGCCCTGGATGTGCGAATGGTCGGTCCCATTATGGGCAAATCCATTTATTTGATTTAGCTGGTTGTGAGCATTAGAGAGGAGCTGAGCACAATCATGGAAGCCTTGAGCATGGGCCAGATCTGCTGCAGTCAAACCATTTGCATTCCTCAAGCTGCACAGTGGGTACAAAACAAAAGAGATTAGTCGGGTCTGGTATTATTTAATTAGCACTGTTATACTAATGTTTATAATGTTTTTAAATTTCAAAGACTTTCCCTTTTATTCTATTAGCTAGTTTTAGGAAAGGCCCAAAAGTTGCTTATTCACACACTGCAATAGGAAATAGTACTCTGAACCATTTTTTCCCCTTACAAATCATTTTTGTGAACAAAATTAAACAATGACACAATTTAATACTATTTATCCAACATAATGCTTTTATTGAAGAACTGTCATGTTAAAAGTACTGAAGGCAAGGCAGTTGATCTTTGTTTCGAGAAGTAGCTAAAAGCAGAAAAGCATAGTTCATTAGAAACAAAAAAGAATTCAGAGCATATATATCTCCAAATGCAGTGTGTGCACTTAAATGAGAATTCAGACATGAACCAACATGCTAAATGGATAAAAGATCAGACCAGATTATTAGTCATATTACATTCTACATATTTTAATGTCAAATGTTTGCCATTTTGTCAGATGGACACAAGATTATGCCCTGTCTGTGTGACACTGATATTCAAAGATACAGATTCAAAGATTCTAGCCTTTGAATAGTGCCTTAAGAATTATGATCCTATGGATTCCTTTTTGATCCTGAACATGTTTTAGGCCTAGTCCACATGTACACGGGTAGTTTTTCCTCCATTTAAAAAAAATAAAAATAAAAAACCTCGTCCACTTGAAACCGCAAAAACACGCTATGAAGTAGGGATGCGCCGATCCGAAAGTTCACACAAACTCTTTTCTCCGCTGTGGCTGTCAGTCATTTGTTCAGCCTTTAAACCCTGGTCACGTTCGGTTACAGCAGTCAATTCGGTAAAGCTCTCTCCAAGATCATTCTGTGTTCCCATTATACTTGATTTGTAAATACATGTCTATGATTTTGCAAAAAGGACTTTATCTTCTTGCCGGAGTCTAATGTTGTTTTGTTTTGTTTTGTTTATGTTGCTATGGGGTGTCTGTGAGAACAAAACTCGGGCGTAGAAAAGACTATAAATTGTTTTTAACGTGCACAGTAACTGAAATTTAAAACTGTTAAAAGAAGGCTCAATAACTGTTGCACAGATATAATACACTACGCATCAATTTCTCTTCCCTTTGTGCTTTGCAGATTTTAACACGAAGCGCTTACAATGTGCACATCCGGTGTGCAGGCTGTGACGCCAGGTTGCTTCAGGCTTCAAGCGCATCATTCTGCACACCGGATGCGCACATTGTAAGCGCTTCGTGCTCATAGACTGTATAAAAACAGTTCGTGCTGCACTGTATTTGTTTTGTCCTATCGTATCTATCATAGTTGTTGCCTTATTAAAAAATATGCTATACATTCAAAAGAAATGTTTTTTAATTTTATAGTATATACTTAAACATATATATGAATATTTTTAATGAATGGATTTTATAATATAAATAGCAATGTGTAACATTTTACCATATTTAGTGCAACACCTTTATTTGTTCCCCACAAAATATATTTTTTTCACTAAATGTTTGGATTTCTAAAATTATTGTGCACTGATTTTTCTAGAATAACTTTTGCTGCCGAATTATCCACTAACCTAGTTTATGATACATTTTTGTCATAGATTATAAATATACATAGGCCTATATTTTTTCATATTTATTGTTTATTTTATTTTTCTTTATAATGAAGTAGTCTGTATCTAGTAGATTGTGAAAGAATGATTATCAGTTCCACACACAGAGATATATAAATTCTACATTTATTTAAATGGGGAAAAAAAACTTCACTGGTATCGGATCGGTATCGGTATCGGCCAATACCGAACCCTAGGTATCGGATCGGTATTGGAGGCGAAAAAGGCGGATCGGAGCATCCCTACTATGAAGCGCTGCCAAGAGCATGCCAAACCAACAGGTGCTGATATAACCCTAACCGTAAAGCCATGTTGGCCAATTACAGACTCGCCTCATGTAAACAAAGGAGATAGTGGTGCACAATTTGATGTCAGTCAAAGGAGATAACAGCGTGCATTCCGACGTCACAAGCCAAAATCTTCGGTTTCACTGGCTACACGACAACACTGCAACCGGAGTTTCTGAAAATCTTCACCCTGGCAGGAGTTTTCAAAAAGGTTCAGTTTCAGTGACCTGACACTGCATTTGTGTGTGGACGAAACCGCATAGAAAAAGCTGCGGTTTTGAAAATACCTGTGTTCGTGTAGACAAGGCCTTAATTAACATCTGGAAACCACCCCCAAATTTCAATTCAATTCAATTCAATTCAAGTTTATTTGTATAGCGCTTTTCACGATACAAATCGTTGCAAAGCAACTTTACAGCAAATTAAGTTTCTACAATATATTTAGTAGTAACTTATCAGTGGTGACAGATAAATCTAACAAACGTCTGACCACTTTTGTCTTTTTGCAATGTCTGCACAATATAATGAGAAGAAATAACATTTGGGTCAGTAGTTGGTTCATTTATGAATTCAGTTTTACCTATCTATCTCTCCCTTTGTATTTTTAAAATGGTTTTACATGGAAAACAACAAAAAAGTGAAAATAAATATAAAATATACATGACAATGCTTCAAAATATAAAGTAAGACAAGTTCAGCTTTTCAAAAAAATTTAATACAAAATTATATGATCGGCTTGCATTCACTCATTCCTTCCTAAACATCCCATTTCTATCAGATAAAATATTAAATGCTTCCAATTATTTTGACTATGGAATATTTTAATCTTCTAGGAAACATTAAATGAAAACATCAGACAATGCCAGACAATTCTTAAGTCAAGGAACTCATTGCACTGTAGTTAAAGAGTTAAGAATAACCATTTCTATGCCCTAAGTAGAGATATAAAAAGTACTGGGCTCTCATTTATAAAACTCTCCGTAGATTTCAGAAGTGTACGTAGGCACAAAAGCTAAATTTTGCATACGCACAAAAATGTTCAGATTTATAAAACCATGTGTACGCCAGAACCTGAACAAAAAATTCCTTTATAAATCCCAGTCAGGGGAAGATTGTGCGTACGTGCACCTCCACCCCGACTCCTCCCCGAAATCACCATATATAGAGCTTCCAATGCCTAGTTTTACTATGCATAACCTCATATGCATATAATTTCCATGCACATTCCATCCAGGTTACACCATGTTTAACACCATCAAAGGTACAAGACATTAAGGGAATATGAGATACGGACTATAAATGCCATTCGTGCCATACATAATTTTTTATTGCTAAAAATCATCCAGTATCCTTGTTATGTTTTAGAATAAATATATCAAAATATCCATAAAAACAAAACTGTTTAAAATAGTTCTCTAATATCTCATTCTTTTCCAGTGGCCAAATAGTATTTCAATTATTTTAAACAATTCAAATCAAAAGTAATTTATGCAGTTTTGCTGATAAGGTGAACATCTTTTAGCTATTTTTAGTGGAAACAGATAGGCCTATATTTATTGCAGTGTAAATAGAATTGTCGGCGCATCACTGACAAAATATTTTAAAAAGGAAATGTGCAAATTACCATTTTCTTCAAGCTGTATCTTTCAAATACAGTGGTATTTTTCATAATGTTGTGGAGATGCCTTCACACGGCACCAACACCTCCATGCAGCTGTGGTTGTACAGTAAGCTATTATAATTGGCCCTATTCAAACCAGACAATGGACCGTTCGACCACCGAATCCAGAGTGTCTGCCATAATATCGAAGTAAGTGCGCATCATTGATCATTGTTCTCACTAAAAATATTTTCTCATAATATTTGATCTGCAGTTTAATTTAAAGATGAATTATTGTGCACCTATAGCTCTCCTCCCTGTCATTAAAACATAGCATGCCACAGGAAAAGTGATTAAGCGCATCCACTATAAATATGTTTTTGTTTAACTTCTGTGTAATGACTTTATGTAATTTCAGTGCTTATCTCCATTAATGAGAGTGGAATATTTAATATTATATGTAAATGTGTATATCGAAATGAAAACAGAGTTTAAAATCGTTGTTTACTTCATTACTTTTCTCACTCCAGGAAAAAAAGAGTGTGTACGCATGGTCTAGAATGTCCTTACGACATTTTAAGTTTATTTTTTATAAATCCCGATATGTGATTGGAAAAATGCGTACGCAATTTCTATGCCCATTTTGTGCGTATGCAACGTTTATAAATGAGACCCCTGGTACTTCAGGACCAAACTTGGTACACTAGGCTGACAGAAAGCCTCTTTCAAATGCTTCCATGCAGATATTTGCGCATGTTCTCTCTGAAGAGCATTCATGTCTGATATTTATTGTGTTACTTGTTTTAAAGCAATGTTTACTTAATAAAATGAATCCTCAAAGGCCACACTGCATTGTTTTAATGGATTATTTACTTTACAATTAAACTAGTTACTTCTGGTAACCTGATTGGCTGAGAGGTCTTTCCAGCCGTGTGAGATTATACTAGTATCAGCATTTCACATTTGTATCACTCTGCTTACACCATTTGTCCCAATAAGCATCATGGGAGGTGCAAACCCACTATAATTTTACAAATACTACAGTTGTTGTGTGACAGAATGTAGTTTTAAAGGGTTAGTTCACCCAAAAATGAAAATTCTGTCATTAATTACTCACCCTCATGTCGTTCTAAACCCGTAAGACCTTCGTTCATCTTCGGAACACAAATTAAGATATTTTTGATGAATTCTAACAGCTCTCTGACCCTCTCATAGACATCAATGTAATTATCAATAAGGTCCAGAAACCTAGCAAGGAGATCGGTAAAATAATCAATGTGACATCAGGGGTTCAACCGTAATTTTACGAAGCTACGAGAATACTTTTTGTACGCAAAGAAAACAAAAATAACGACTTTATTCAACAATTTGTCTCCTCCCTGGTGCCATTTTGGAGAATATCCACTGAACTCAAACAGCGTATGCTATTCTGTGTCAGCTGCGTCACACGGATACGTTTTACACATCG